GCTCAGATGGCCTAGCCAGCATAGTCATCTGTGTTTGAGTAGGGATGTCACTCTTGGTAAATTTGCCTTTTGAAGAACCTCTGCGTTGGTAACTTTATCCTGCCATTTGATGTATGCGGTGTAAACCGTGCAGGTGAAAGCTATTTAGCCTTTTCTCTTGAGGTGCGTAAGCTATGCATGTTTCCCCACCATACATGAGAGTGCTGAGTACGCAAGCCTTGTACACTAGCATTTTGGTCTTGATGGTAAGCTTTGAGTTGTTCCATGTTCTTTTAGTTAGTTCGCTGAAGGTGGTCGCAGCTTTTCTGATATGAACATTAAGTTCTTCATCCAGTGAGAGGTTGGTAGTAACTATAAAACCTAGGTAGCTGAACTTTTGGACTACTGCTAGCTGCTTCTCACTGAGGATGATTGATGGATCTTGTGGAACTCCCTGTCCTAGTACAACTGTTTTCTTTATGCTGATAGAGAGAGCAAATGCCTGGCAAGCTCTTGTGAGCATTAGTTAATTATATATGTAAGTCTTTGTAGGATAAGGGTCTAAGGCCATATGTAACCAATATGAATCCTGAGCAAGTTAATTGTAAAATGCAAATGAAACATATGTATGTAAACAAAAAATAGTAGTAGAAGCTGCAAAAAACCAATCACTCATCAGAGCTTGACAATCAGGAAAACATAGGCTTACACAATGAAATACTCGACCTGCATAAAAGTATCATTGATATCCCTGGGGGCTAATGAAGTTATACAAGTGAAACCTGAATGAGTTTCCATAGAAATCTAATAATGCTTACTTGGTTTTGGTCATCTTTTGATCATGGCAAAAATGGCTGAGGAATCTAGCATAGTACAAGTGCAAAACTGCATGTTCCTTTCCCCCAATGTACAAATCCACAGGCATCCAGTAGTCAGCCAAATCTTTATTAAAAGGCCTAAAATACAAAACAGAAAAGGTACTATAAATATAACATACAATGAATAACTCATTAGCCTTTAATTGGAAACAGCTGTTTAAATCTGAGCTGCATGAATATTTTAAAATATTTTTTTGTTTTTCTATTTGCTCCTTTTAATGCAATTTTTTAAGAGCCTTTAAATGTGAAATTACAAAATCTATTCAAGAACGTTAAAAAGCTATAGCAAAATAGATCACTTTAATGTGATTTTCATATATTTTAGGTGCATTACTTGGATTTCATATGCATCACTTACATATGTACAAACATACTATGTAATTATTTGCCTGCTTATTGGCACTTTCCTAAATATGGTGTCATTACTTAATCTCTTTTGTGTGAAACTGATAACTTGTGAAATGTATATATATATAGCTGTATCTCTCAAAAAACATATGACAACTCCAATTTTAAACTACTCTGCTGACTTCACTGAAGAAAAATTTAAGGTTTATGTTGCAACCATTAGAGGGCAATATGATATTTTATTATAGCATTTCAAAACTTATTCTGAACATTCATTTGGAGCATCATAACCTGAAACCTCAAAAATACTGTACCAGTTTATTAAAAAATGATTCACATCTTCAGGGTGTATTTACTAACCTCCTGCAAATAACTGTCTCCTCAAGGCAAGAGTTCAGAAATTTACTTTCTGAATCATTTTGGTTAATTAAGAAAACTGATGATTTTTTAAAATGTATTTATTAAGTATGCTTCCTTATACAGCAATGACCACAATACCAAACACTGGGTCAGAATTTTATGCATCTTTAAATGAACTAATCAAAACCCGCAAAATGACTGTTGTTGTATACAGGGTTTCAAAATAGACATGAAATTTCCGTAAGTCCAGAGGGCTCAGATTGGGTATTCAAATTTGACTGTATGGAACAAAAGGTTTGTTTATATGCATGACGGTAATTTTAAACCGATGTAGTTAAGCCAGTGCCAAATCAGCATGGATACTTTCACTTTAGTATAAATGCAGATAATGTTTGGTTTAACTTAAGTCCACAGGAACCCATTTAAATTAAATTGAAATCAAAGTACCCATACAGGGTTTTTCACTGGTTTAACGTACTAAAAAACATATATGTGGAAAAGACCTTAAAGTTTAAGTTGCAAACCTTGATCCATGCCCATGTTCTGGAATTTGTTAAATTATTTAAATACATTTACATTTATTTAAAAGATATTACCTAATGCACTGGTTCCCAAACCTTTTAAGCCTCAAGGCACCCCTCCTTAACATCTTTGAATTTAGCATCATCCTGGTTAAGAATCACTGAACTAGAATCTAGCTGATGCCATGTGAGGGCATTGGAGACAAGACCTTACCCTGACATGCCCCA